TAAAAGTTTAAATAATACATGGATACATTATAGAATTATAACTACTACATGGAAACATTCTAGAATTATAACTACTACATGGAAACATTCTAGAATTATAACTACTACATGGAAACATTCTTTTTAACTAATACATGGCAACATTTTAGCAATGTAACTGCTATATGACAAAATTCTAGAAGTCTAACTACAACGTGGAAACTTTCTAGAATGATAACTACTACATGGAAACATTCTAGAATTTAAACTGCAATATGACAACATTCTAAAAGGGTAACTACTATATGGAAACATTCTAGAATTTTAAATGCAATATGACAACATTCTAAAAGGGTAACTACTATATGGAAACATTCTAGAATTTTAAATGCAATATGACAACATTCTAAAAGGGTAACTACTATATGGAAACATTCTAGAATTTTAACTGCAATATGACAACATTCTACAAGGGTAACTACTATATGGAAACATTCTAGAATTTTAACTGCAATATGACAACATTCTAAAAGGGTAACTACTATATGGAAACTTTCTAGAATTTTAATTGCAATATGACAACATTCTAAAAGGGTAACTACTATATGGAAACATTCTAGAATTTTAACTGCAATATGACAACATTCTACAAGGGTAACTACTATATGGAAACATTCTAGAATTTTAACTGCTACCTGGAAACATTCTAGAAGTGTATTATTTTCTCCAGGTTGGGGTAATTCAAGGGACACTCTTGGCTCTGAAATTCATGGGAAAAGACCAAGGTAGTTGTGGTGGTCACGTAGTAAATATATCCTCGACAGCAGGTAAGCTTTATCTTAATAATAAATATGACCAGTGATAGAAACTCTTCATACAATAAATATAGTGAAAATATCGGATAAGCTCGTGCTGGCGTTCAAAATATTAATATTTTAACAATTCACAACTACGAACTCAATGTGCCACTTGTATTTTGCTACGGATAGGGAGCTAATTGTAAATGGTGTCATTACACTTAAAGTACTATTCGGGTTCCTTGCTTTTTCTTGTTTTATTAATATGCTTCCAAGAAGAAGCTTCAACACAAGTTTAACATTAATCAAATCCATCTTTCACTAAATTGAGAGGGCAGATAACTCGATATGTAGCTTTGCTCTTAAAACAAGACCAATAAAATCTATTAAAGTGATATGTATATCCACGTGCATGTTTAGAATGTAGTTTGTTCAAGAAATTGACGCTTATTCACACGCTCATGTGCACGAAGTACTACGTCAACACAAAAAATGATGAAAACAATAGCAATATGTTTTTTTTAACACGTATTAAAACACGACTTGCTGAATCTTTTATACTAATTCGGTAATGTTAAATAACTAAGATTTTTCAAAGAAGTGAATAATATTAAATATTGTTCCATAAAACAAAAATTGTCTCAGAACGATTGTTTTCACTTTTATCATTGTGAAAAAAAAAAGCCTGATGAACAACGTCAAATCATAAAATGCATGATAGTTATTAACTATTTTTCTGTGTATGAACAACGAAAAGGTGGAAGTACTGAATATTTAACTAAGAAAACAGTTAAGATCGTTCGTCTAAACTCTAGAATTGCCGACTGTTTATACATAAATTTCTAAACTATTTTGTGGGTCTTTGAATTTCTTTGTACAGGCAAAGTGGGATTAAGGGTGAGGCTGTAGGCACATTCATCCTTACCCCCCCCCCAAAAAAAAAAACAACAACATTGGCCTGGCATGGCCTGGTGGTTAGGGTGCTGGACTCGCAATGTGAGGGTCGCGGGTTCGAATCCCCGTTACAACGAAGATGCTCGCCTCTTTCAGCCATGGGGGCATTATAATGTGACGTTCAATCCCACTATTCGTTAGTAAAATAGTAGCCCAAGAATTGGCGTTGGATGGTATTGACTAGCTGCCTTCCCTCTAATCTATAAGTGCTAAATTAGGGATGGCTGGTGCAGATAGTCCTCGTGTAGCTTTGCGCTAAATTCAAACCAAAACCAAAAACTTTTGCCCACTTCTAACCCAGTTCATTCTGTGTAATACTTTGGACTCTAGAATTTTTATTTCAGCTAAACATCCTCGTGTCTGGAAGTTGTTCGTAGAGCTAGTTTATTCTTAAAGTATATTGAAATATATCAACACTTTTCTTAGTAATAGTACTTGAGAGAAACTAATAGCTTCCACCTATAAGCATTATTGGCAGTCATATAAAACTTGTCATAAATTTGTATTAGGTTTTCTTTCTACTGACTTAACCACGAATGTCTTAAGGCCACTTATTTCCTTCATCCGCTGTGGTTACAGGATTTGTAATATATACACACGTACATGCTGTGCCACAAAAATATTTGAACTACACATACCATCAGTATTAAAATTAGTCCCACTAATAGGTTTTGGGGTTCAATGTAAATATATATATCCAAAATATGAAATATATATATATATATTATTATTATTATTACCTAACAAAAGAGTGATTTCACTCATTGTTTTTGATCAGGACTTTACAATTAATGTTGTAACGGGTAAACATTCTATGTAGACCCTACCGGTGCTGAATAGTATAAAAACAGGTCTGTTAAAGAACAAAATAGGGTACCTAACACGAAACTTGCCATCAAAGAAAATTTAATAATTACTAAATCTCGTATCATCACCAAAAGTTCAGCCCAGTTCTTTTAACCGTGTCTTTATATTGCGTGGTATAGTTAATAATATACTAATTGATACTCGTATCATTTTGTGGTTAAATAAAGCGATAGAACTTTTTGTAATTATGTATAATAAGGAATAAAAATTAAGGAACTAAATCCGATAAGCTAAGCCTCGTGTGTGAATGTGTGAAGTTGCTTTTAAGCTATTTATTAAAATAGTTTAATAACAGTACTTCTTACTTTTCACATTAGTTGTTGATGTTGTTTCAACACCAAGCTACGCAATGGACTGTCTGTGCCCTGTCCGCTGTGGGGAATCGAACCCCGGATTTTAGCATTGTTAGTCCGTAAACTTACCGCTGATCCACAGGAGGACAATTTCTTTGGAAAATCCATCCTTTCCAATTAGTTTTAAGTTTAATTAAGAGAGAGAAAACAAATTGATTGTTAACTCCTTGTGCCACATTGGCCAATTCAATTAGTTTGCTGTCAACTTCTTGTACCACATTGGCCAATTCAATTAGTTTGCTGTCAACTTCTAGTGCCACATTGGCCAATTCAATTAGTTTGCTGTAAACTTCTTGCCACATTGGCCAATTCAGTTAGTTTGCTGTCAACTTCTAGTGCCACATTGGCCAATTCAGTTAGTTTGCTGTCAACTTCTAATGCCACATTGGCCAATTCAGTTAGTTTGCTGTCAACTTCTAGTTGTCACATTGGCCAATTCAATTAGTTTGCTGTCAACTTCTAGTCCACATTGGCCAGTTTAATTAGTTTGCTGTCAACTTGTTGTACCACATTAGCCCATTCAATTAGTTTGCTGTCTTCGGTCTGTTTAATCAAGACACACGGTAGTGTTTCGTACGGCCAAAAAAGCAACCTGCAAGACAAACTATGTTGTTACCACGAGTGATAATTTAGCGATATTCCACCTTCTGTAGCTCGGATTGTGGTAATCCAAACAAACACATATTTTCAGTGGATGTGCTCTACTGGACTCGTACTTCACATACCAAATTTCAAGGCAATCCATTAAGAAATACATGAGATATAACATCTCCAATTTTGATTGAGTTTCTTCCCTTTTTTTTTGTCTTCTTCGCACCAAAAGTACGGAAATTTTATTTGATAGAAAAACATATTTAATTTGTTATGGATTTTTTCGAATCTGGTACACTAGTGGATCTTTTTAACCTACAGTTAGGATCTCATTTGGTGTAAGTATAAGCCACATTTGCAAAGTTATTCAACAAAAACCGCTCAAATTTAACGAAACTTTTTGCGGACGCCTACGCAAAAAGTCACGTTGGCTATTGGTCTAAAATGTTTACTACAGCTTCAACTAAGAGTAAAAGTAGACCGTTTGTACATTTTTGTCATTAGGATTAATTGACGACTGATTTAGAGCAGCAAAATTATGAGGTGAAAGGACGTGCAGATAAGTATTGGTTAGGCCAAGCAAATTAGATTAGCAGTTTCTAGCTCAAGTTTTCAAAAGGATCATACGGGTGGACTGTTATTATTGATTATTCATTGCCAACTTTTCAGCAGAAATTTTCTTAATTTTATGAAATTATCCTACTTAAAGAGCGTTTAGCGTCACGTGATATTAGCTCAATCAATTAGCATAAATAATAATGCTTGATACGGATGTACCGATTGCATGGGGGTGATGACAAGAAATTTTTAATTTTACATCTTAAGTTTACAGAAAGTATTCATTTATTAGTTAGCCAGGCCGCGTATTTTGTTTTACCCACCATCATGCCCCAAACTGAACAGAAAACGCGGCCTGGCTAATTAATGAATGAATAATTGCTTTAAAATTCTTATAAATATTATAAGTGTAGCTACCAGTTTCGCCGCCAGTTTTGATTTCATTTCTTTAAGTCGCACGCTGAATCCTTTTTTGGCCGCGCCTTTTTTTTTTATCACACCTAAGGTGTTTTTGATTAGATGTATGTTTATTCAAATTTGACAAAATCCGTTTATTTTATTTTGACTGTTAATCTTAAGTTATTGTTTTTATATTTACTTAGGCTGTCAATTTTAAGTTGTTGTTTTTATATTTATCTGAGCTAGCAAACTTAAGTTGTTGTTTTTATATTTATCTGAGCTAGCAAACTTAAGTTGTTGTTTTTATATTTATCTGAGCTAGCAAACTTAAGTTGTTGTTTTTATATTTATCTGGGCTAGCAATCTTAAGTTGTTGTCTTTATATTTACTTGGGCTATCTGTCTTAAGTTGTTGTTTTTATATTTACTTGGGCTATCTGTCTTAAGTTGTTGTTTTTATATTTACTTGGGCTATCTGTCTTAAGTTGTTGTTTTTATATTTACTTGGGCTATCTGTTTTAAGTTGTTGTTTTTATATTTACTTGGGCTATCTGTCTTAAGTTGTTGTTTTTATATTTACTTAGACTGTCAATCTTAAGTTGTTGTTTTTATATTTACATGGGTTGGCAATCTTAAGTTGTTGTCTTTCAGGGTTAGTGCCTACGCCTCTTGGACCTGTGTACTGTGCGTGTAAACATGGCGTTGTGGGCTACACAAGAAGCATGGGGGTACGTTAAAAATTCATAGTTTTCAAATTTACTAACTTCTAGTCGGTAAAATTTACTTAATCTTAGAGAAAATATAAAAGCATCGAAAAAATACTTTAAAATACCAAGAGTATGGTTATTATAATGCGAAATTTTAATCTATGAACAGAGCGATGTCCATTACCAACGCACAGGGGTGAAGGTAAGCGCCATCTGTCCATCGTTTGTTGACACACCCATGGTTCGCCAGATAGTACAACTCTCGGCAGTGCCTGAGGAAGCAGCCAAGTTTATGAAATCCATGCAGCTGATGGAGTACGTGCAACAACTTATATATATATATGATTGTATTTAGAATAAACTTTGGGGAGGGAGTATAAATAAACAAAAATTTTAGTGTTTTTGTTCCAGGTTTTTATTTGAAATTTGAAAAAAAAACTTTTTAAAAACTTGCAAATGAAAAGTGTTACTTCAGTTTACATGCTATATTTGTACTCAGTATTAACCATAAGAAGCTCATTTTGGAATATAACTAATTGAATAACCAATAATGAGTTGGGCCTCCTCTGGCTTTACTTGAATGCATGAATGAAACCAGATCTTTTCCATTGTTAACTTGATCTCCTTCCATTTTTGTTGGGCAAGTTCCAGACGTTGTTGTATATTCTTCGTTTCTTCTCTTTTATGCGGTTGTGTTTCAATTAGTGCCACAAATTATCATTTGGATTAGCGATGGTCATTTCAAAACTCTGTGTCATGAGAGACTTTCTTCTCCTTCAAATATCTCTTCTTCAGTAAGGACGTACAGAGAAATTCTTCTCCTTCAGATATCTCTTCTTCAGTAAGGACATACAGAGAAATTATGAAGAGATATCTGAAGGAGAAATGCAATGGAAACGTAAGCGAGTAAAGAAAAGAGTGAAATAAGGTAGTGGAAGATACTGTCAAAGGTTTTAATGACACGAAGAAGGTGCAGTATGACAATATCCTGGTTCGCAACACATTACCCAAAAACGACGTTTAATGGCTATGGTTTGAACCACCTGGGATGCCAAGTCCGTGTATTTGGGCTTTTTTTTACGGTTTAATTAACATTTGCTGCTACTTTATATTACTATAGCTTTTGAACACTACTGCATTGCTTAACTGCATTGATTGGTTATAGCGTAGTTTGTTTGAGAACCCCTGAGGCTTGTTTCTGTAGCAAAATCTGGTATTTCTGGTTTGGACCTTCAGCATGATAGTGACCCAAAACAGGCGTCCTTGCAGCAGAAAAATAGATATCCGAAGAAGAAGAATTTCTCTATACGTCCTTGCTGATGAAAAGATATCCGAAGGAGAAGAATTTATTTATACGTCCTTGCTGATGAAGAGATATCCGAAGAAGAAGAATTTCTCTATACGTCCTTGCTGATGAAGAGATATCCGAAGAAGAAGAATTTCTCTGTACGTCCTTGCTGATGAAGAGATATCTGAAGGAGAAGAATTTCTCTGTACGTCCTTGCTGACTTCTAGTGTTTCTCTAAAAGTTAATTTTGTTTTTTTCAGTCATTTGATCATCCAATTATTGTGCTTCTCTGCAAAGCTTAAAGGCTTTACCATGTTCTCGCATGAAACCTTAGGCTTCTTGGCTGCAATTGTTTCTTGTAGACCACTTCTTACAACGAACTTTCAAACACCTGTATTGTTTGTTATGTGTTTATTTGTTGCTAAGCACAAAGCTGGACAATAGGCTATATGTGCTGTGCCCACCACGGGTATCGAAACCAGGTTTTTAACGTTGTAAGCCTTGAGACTTTCCGCTAAGCCACTGGAGGCGCTGATTCAAACTCCATGGATATCCCGTTTTGCTGCACTTATATCTGGGGACGTTTTAACTCGATTTGATGTTGCACTTTTTCGAAAGACATTATCCTCCTGCCTGAATATTTTCCTTGAAATCCTTTCCTCTCGTCACATTTTAAATTTACAATTGCAGGAAATCGCTCTAACGTTCTTAGAACCGCACACTTCTGAACATTAAGTTTTGATTAAGTAGTACAATAACTTACCTTTTTTTTCATTACTTAATCCTTAGTTATTTTTTTGGTTTCAGTTGAATCAAACTTTCTTGTTGTTGGCACCCACTCATTGGAACAAGAGTGTCGGTACTTTAAAACGTGTGTGGGATATAAGAGTATCATTATGGAAGCATGTGTAAATGTACAATGGTGTAGTGGTAAAATGTTTTGTGCAGGAGTGCTAACTATATTCTAACACATTTATTGTCCTTGGATTATACGTGGACATGTAGGTTGCATTTCAGACATTTATAATTACCAGTCACTTATCTATTAAGTTTTGTATAACTAACGGAAATATTTAAGTCGTACAAATACAATTGAATATTATCTGTAACTTAAACGTAGAATCTCCACGCCATAAAATATAGACAGATGTATTATTCGTGTGCATTTGTAAGTTATCATTTTTATACATACAATGGTTTTAATATATTTAAATACTTATTCGATGACGAGGAACCCACTTTGAGACTAATAATGGCTGGAGACGGCTTGAATGGGTAATGAAGAAAAACTTTAATATAAGTTTAACATAACAGCAATTGTACAACGTTTCGACAAGGTTTTGTCAGTCAGCCCGAAAAGTGTTGTTGTTTGTTATTAAGCACAAAGCTACACAAAGGGCTATCTCTGCTCTCCCCACCACGGGTATCGATGACAAAACCTTGTCGAAACGTTGTACATTTGCTGTTATTTTAAACTTATATCAAAGTTTTTCTTCATTACCCATTCATGCCGTCTCCAGCCAATATTTAAATACTGCATTTTAACCATACAATTTTAATATTCGGAAGTCTTATATCTATAATTCAAGTTTATTTTACAATTACACGAACTTATTTTAATCACATAAAAAGTAGAGGAGCGGCGCTCAGGTTAGCTCTGCCCAATTACACTACTGTAAATGGATCAACCCACACTTCAACCGGAATTTGTTGGAAAATTATAGACTATATCGCTAAGACGGCCCACCCTTTGCTGTTACAATCCTATTGAAATTTGAACCGCGCCATCTAGCGAGAGGCTTAATGGATAATATAGGAGATGTAACAATTGTTGGTATAAACAGCGAGCATATTATACAGTTTATAAAATGAATAATTGTTTTTATTGTAATTATAATACCAATCTTGCAAAGGTTCAGATACGTACAAAAAGAGAAAAACTCACTAAAGTTCAATAAACAAATTCAATATTTTGTAATATAAATTATTTCTATTTTCAGACAAATCGTTTTAAAATCCTTAGATGTTTCAGTTATACGTAGTATTAATTATTTTACTATTACATATGAATGATATTATGCTGACTAATTTTTATGTGTTTTTTTTCTTTTTTTCACTTCAGGCCTACTTATGTAGCGGATGCTCTTGTGAAACTGTTGCAAGATGGTAAAAACGGCGCCATTTTAAAGGTTACGAAAACTGAAGGGTTTCAGTACGTGTAGCCCATTTCCAACTTTTATATATATCTATAAGTGTGGTTTTACTAATACAATAGTCTCACGATTTTATGCCAAAATAACTTTTTTTGTTAGTTTCATTTGAAGAATTTGCTTTTATTGTAGAAAAAAATACAGAATTGTTTTTCAGGGTTTCGCTTTTAATCAGGTTAATTTGCGGTAATTGTATGATAAAATGTAATATATATATATATATATATATATATTACGCTAACGCCTTTTTATTCGGGTATCACTAATATAAAGAAAATGATCATACAGTAGTTTGAGTTCATCATACTGAAGATTATAAACCATTCTCGTTTATCACTGTGGTCCAAAGAATGACTTAACAGTTACACAAAACTCCGTCGTGGTCATATTAATGAGCTATGTTTTCATCATTAAAATAAAAAGTAGTTTTTACGGCCATAGCATGGCCTGAAGTACTTACAATTTTCATTTTCTCGTAGTTCAGTAGGGGATAATCTTAGAGGACAACGTAGTTTTCTAGAGGGACACCCTGTTTTATATTAGCTAAGCCTCGTCTTAGTACGAACTATTGTTAAAAACTAAACCATAGTTCCATGATGTTCATATTACTTAAAACCCCGATAATTATGAATAATTTAATTATCATAGACTATATCGCTAAGACGGCCCACCCTTTGCTGTTAAAAGCCTATTGAAATTTGAACCGCGCCATCTAGCGAGTGGCTTAATGGATAATATAGGAGATGTAACAATTGTTGGTATAAACAGCGAGCATATTATATGTGTATAAATGGAAAAACTCTTCACATGGCGACAGGACATCTTTCTATAAAAAACCTGCTTGCAATGCTGCGGTTAGCCTGATTACACTTTTCAGGCTCCCCCAGTGGCATAGTAGTATGTCTGTGGACTTATACTACTAGAAACCGGGTTTCGATACCCGTGGTGGGCAGAGCAGAGATAGCCCTTTACGTAGCTTTGTGCTTAATAACAAACAACAACACTTTTCGGGCTGACTGAACCGTCTTAGCGATATAACATTTACAATTTAAGTTTCTAGTGAAGCTCTATAGAGCTGTGTATTAATAGTTTCGTTTCGAGTTTAATTACTGATTACACAGGCTTGCGAATTTAAACTTCATAAGAGATGTTTTGGTTTTAATAACGAATTTTCCATAGTTCAGCTACGCAAACTTCGAAAATAATATTCATTTGTTTCTATCACGTAAGGATATTTTGCAAATTAAGAAGAAAAAAATTCTTACTTAGATCAAATTATTATTTCGTTTACCACAATAAACAATTTATTATTATCATTATATTTATTAAAAAAAATACAAACAAGCTGAAGAAAGGGGGAGAACGTTGATGTCAAACGAATATACATCCTCATTCATCCTGATTTGTGTGTGTGTGGGTGAAATATACGTCTTTTAGTCTCAAAACTACGTATTGTGACTATACCTTTTTGTGCCGCTCAGTGGCACAGCGGTATGTCTGCGGACTTACAACGCTAGAATCCGAGTTTCGATACCCGTGGTGGGCAGAGCACAGATAGCCCATTGTGTAGCTTTGTGCTTAATTACAAACAAACAAATATACAATAGCACACTCTCCGGACAAAACGTAAACGTCTGCCATTACCACATTTGATTGCAAATAGTATAAAAAACTCAGTTCTTTTCGATGTATTTGAATGAGATACTAACTGAATATTAACTCTAATACTGAATTTTGGTCACTTATTTTGCCACTCCTCCTTACTCAATATGATGCAATACGTTGACCATATTGGCAAAAAACGGTATAAATCAAGTATGTGGTTAAAGATTAATAAGTATTAGAATAATCTTACAATCAGCAATCTGAGGCATATCCACTTCTTACATTTTACACATCCACGAGGGGAAAGACAAATTTGTAACGAGCAACGTTAAATAGTAGTTTTTGCTAGAAACATGAAGTTTGATAATTTGTCTAGTAGATGGCGTTGCAAAACAAAATATCTTAATTGACTGTCTATAATGTAAGACTGGATAAGGTGTGCTATGGTACATATATTTGGTGCACATAAGAAGTTTTAAAAAGTTTACTGAAAACACCAACTGGTTCATGCAGGCCCCCATTAGCAGTTCGAGGGTGTTAATCTTAATAAAAGTGGTACTGATATTTTTGATAAACGAGCTTGAAAGGAATAACATTTTATTCATAATCTCAGGGTGCTGCAATTATAAAGTATAAACACTTTCAATGAAAAGTTTAATAAAGTCGATAATTAAGTACTAAGCCCAAGAGTTTGTTATATTTGGATAATGGTGAAATATACATGTATATGATTTATGAGTTTATATACTTCTGAAATGAAGATAGAAATCAATGTTGAAAGTAATTTTATAATATAAGGGATTGCATTCCATAACCCATTAATTGAGTACGAATTATATTTTCCCAATAAAAATGTCAAGCCTTCTTTTAGATAGTACGTAAGAGGATTTGTTTTTGATTTGGTTTTTGTTAAGCACAAAGCTTTGCAATGGTCTGTCTGTGATGTGCTCAACACGAGCACCGAAAGTCGGTTTTAGCGTCGTAATCACGTCACTTATTGCTAAGTGAATAGGAGGCTGCGTATGAGGACTGTTCACGATCTATTGTAGTAACTTGTATATATAACTAACTTACCCCTGATCATCCCTGTGACCTGTGATTATAGAGGCTAAAATCCTTGACCCTCTTGTTGCAATTCAATTGAAGTGTGTTGATTTTGCAGATGTAGGTGGCATTTCTGAAAGGACTTTATAATTCGACGTCCTCCTATTTCACAATTACAATAGCATGCAAGTCATAAAATTTTAACGTTTAGAATAAATGGATATTTGAAGTATTGGAAGAATAGACGAAACTCCAGCAATTGGTAAAAACAAACAAACAAACACGCTACTTCAAGATCGCTCGAAGTGAATTTTTTTTTTTTACCAGAAGTAACCCAATAATACCTCCCCATTGTAGCTAAGATATGAGGCTCTCTTTGAACTGCAAATAAAGTAATTAGGCTTTTTAGTTCTCAACAGAGAAACAAAGGCCAAAGCTGAAGAAATGATCAAATATTTAAAGCTTTATCAGCAATAGCTAGCATACAACAAATTGAAGTATGTTTTCTCAGTAGGTGAAGCATATATGTGCTTAACTCCAGGGCAGTTTACTATTCTTCTTCCTGTGATAGAGCATTTCAAAGCAGCACAGAGTGCAGTGTAAAAGTTTTCCAAGTAATTTATGGTAGTTTGGGATTACAGCTTTAATGGCAAGCTAAAATATATGAAGATTCGACAGAAACGCCAATGCGAATTCTACATACAATCTGAACTAGGGTAACGACATGATACCGTTATAGCATAAGGAAATTCCATATTTATATGCCAATGCGGATTATATTCCAATGAGGCATGGCTCTATAAGACAAACCAATCAAACCACTCGTCCAAATTAAAGTTTCAATCCCTTCGCAAGATGTAGATACAAACAAACGGAAATTCATGCTATACGATTCGGTGACATCTCCTATGGGATTCTGTGCTTTTGTACTGCTCAACTGGAAAGCATGTAAGAAGATGGACAACTTTGTTTTCAATGTACTGCTACAAAAGCACCCTCCAGTGCAAATTCCATGCAGAAAAACTGCCCGTTAAAAAAGCAAACAAGGCCATTACATGGTGGAAAAAGTGGATACGCTTAGTCACCCATTCTGGTATCGCTATCACAGACAAAAAAACGGCCCTCTGTATTCCAAAATATAAAATTACCAATGGTAAGTTACCATCGCAATAACAAAAGAAACACTGAGTTCTAGATGGCGAAAGAGTTACCGAAGATGAAGAATATAAGTTGAATTGTCTAATTGTAAGAATCAACGTGAAATGAAGATAAGATTTAAAATGTTAAATGTAAGGTTGAATAGTGAAACGCAAGGGGAAAAAAAGAGCTCCACATACCAATATAGTAGAACTTGAAACTGTTCTCATGACTGATTCAACTGTTAGTTTGGGTCAGAGGTACTCGAACTTTACAAAACTGCACAAAACCAACATTAGACAAGACTGTACTTTGCACTTAGACGAAAACAAGATTGTTCTGTATCAAAGTTGGTACCAGACGAGAACTACAGTTTAGGAGAATTTGACAAGACTGGAATATAAACTATTTGACAACCAGGACAAGACTGAAAGTTTGTTTTGTTGAATTTCGCGCAAAGCTACTTGAGGGGTATCTGTATTAGCTGTCCTTAATTAGAAGTGATATACTAGAGGGAAGGCAGGTAGTCGAGATAACCCATCGCTAAACACATGGCCTACTCTTTACTAAAAGTAGGATTTACCGTCAAATTCTAAAGTCTCATGACTGAAAGGGAGCATATTTGGTGACTGGATTCGAACCCACGACCCGAAGATTGCGAGTCGAGAGCCTTAACCACCAGACATGCTAGGTCAAGACTGAAAGAGATATAAAATTTAAAGGGATAAAGAAAGGAGGCTTTTATAGCTCTGCCCTATCAAACACAAAGGGACTACTCTATATTATCATGTGAAAGTCAGGCTAAAAACACGCGAAGATCAATTTTACGAAACTGCAGTCAAACAATATCATAAAAACACAGAGGTTAGGGTCCACTACAGACTCGTTACACTCAAGGAACAGGTTAACATTGGCCAGGACTTAATTGTTACAAACGATTAAAGTCTGAAAACATTACAGCAAATTGGAATATTATGCACTATGCAAATATCATGGATGTAGCTTTCAGCTAGAACGAGTGTTTAAAAATAAATAACTTAGAACCTAGAAAAGAAAAGAGCTACTATCGTAAAAAGCAAGCTCTCTGGCAAAAGAGAAAACAAACGAGATTTTGCACTTGAAATAACCTTAATGTTTCGGTCATGAACAAAGTTTTTATTGGTTTTCTCAGGTATGGAACTCTTCTCTAAATTATGATATTCCTTGAATAACTGTTAAGATTATTACATATCATATTTGGAAACTTGTCAAGGAACATATTCATGGGATTATTTTCATCTATCGATTTTGATAGGATATATTAGTTTTTACAGTTCGGTTATTATTAGCATTTAATAAACTGTCACCAGTCTCAGAATCATGACCACTGGACCGGAAGTTCTGGTTCGTTCTTTTTTTTCTTCTAGAGTTCATCTTTGAAGAATCTGCCTCTAACTTGGTCTGGAGTGGTCAGTTCAGCAGACAGTTAGTAGATCACGTACTTACCATGGGATATCCACAACAGTTATAATGAACTGCTTTTATCTTAGCACATCTGCTCATTGAAACAATGTACCACATTATTGGCCATCTATATCACTGCGTGCGCATTTTCCAACGTCAAATAAAATTTCCAGGGAATATGTTTTTGTCTTCCTGCAAACATATCAGTTTATCATCCTGGAATCATTAGTTATAAGCATTAATTTCATGCCTAACCGTTACGCTTCCTCTGCCTGACTTAATATTATCACAGATAAACACAGAGACATCATAAGAGTTTGTATTTAACATGAATATGTTAATTTATGGAAGTTTTTGGCAGTAATAGAAAAAAAAATAAACTACAGGGTCCAGTAATTTCGATATATCATCAAATCAAGTATTTCTTGGACAGTTTCTTGATGGTAAAGAATTTCCTGGTTTTAGGTGGCAACAAGCCACCCTTGCTAACCAAGATTATTGCAGACTTTGTTGTTGAAGTCCTTAATGTATTTGTTTTCATTTCTATTAGATCATGCATAAATTTACCACAACATGGAGGGTCTCTCGTCCTGCAAAAGGGTGGCCCTCTTAGAGTATTATGAACCGACAGCTGAACCTTAGTATTCTTCATCAGTGCCTAACATTATAGCGGTCATAACAATCTGGTTCTTACCCAAACCTATCTCCATCCATTCATCTGCAGGTGTTATCTGGCTCACTGGAATAAATAGGAAAATTCCTGTAATTTTTGGTTGGCATCTTAATTACCGAGCCTCATCAGTCAGTTGATTTGACAGAGTCCAATGCATTTACTGAAGGAGCCCTTCCAATGATTGAACTCGTCGAAAAAGCTGACCAATCTTTTTGACTATTAATTATTCTTCAGCTAGTAGCGGCCAATATATCTAAAAA